AAACCTCAGCCTACCCCCCTAAAAAAATTTGCAAATTATAATCTTATAAATATAGGTCTAAATATTTTATGAAATAATGATATATAGATTACAGGAAGAATATTTATTGGTATAAAAATTATCGAAATTTAAAAAATTATATATTTTAATTTCCACATAATAATTTTATTTTATTTATAATTTTTTTAATGTTAAAAATATATATAACATAAGGAATATAAATATGTGTGCAGAAAAAGACTAATTATAAATAACTAACTAATACTAGTAATCCAAATTTATTCAAATAAAAAAGGGAATTATAATGCAAAATGTCTAAATTTATTGCTATTTAATATTTAAAAAAAATGGATATTATAATTGCTACATAATAAATTTTTTTAATGTTAAAGATATAACATAAGGAATATAAATATATGTGCAGAAAAAGACTAATTAAAAATGACTAACTAATAAGGGATTAGTAATCCAAATTTATTCAAATATTGAAAAAAGGGAATTATAATGCCAAATGTCTAAATTTATTGCTGTTTAATATTGAAAAAAAAGGATTATCCAATTAAAAGATTAGATAGTCTTTTAGAAGTTAACGCGAAATCTGTAATAATATCTTATATTTTAAATGTATCATATATATCAATTTCACTTGATATTAATAATAAATTTTCTAAAAAAGAATCAGAGATTTTATTTCGAATACGTGTTTTAACAATTTTGACTTTACTCATAGCTCTTTCAGCAGAGCATGAGGTGGTGGGGAGGGTTATAAGATATTTATATAACGTTTTAAGATAAGGAAAAGAACTTGATTTAATTAATAATCTATATGGCAGAATAAATCAATATTTCAGCCATCTTTTTGTTTCGGTCATTTTACTATCATTTATAATGTTTTCACCTATAAACATATATTAAAATTAAGTTGTTAATAAAATTAATAACTTTCATCATATAAGGTATCATTTTTTCTAATATTGATTAAATCTTTACTATAAATGATTGATAAGGAATCTAAGTATAATGGTCTAAAATTGGAAAATTCATCTATAATTTTCTGTGCATCAAAATTATATAAACACAATTTCAGATATCTGGGAAATTTCTATATTCTCATTATCTGCTAATCCCGCAGGAGTAAAAATAGAGATCTGATTTAAAAAGTTTAATGATTCATAATTAAATCTTTCATTTAATTGTTCAATGATCATATTAATCACTGGGTAAAAATTTTCATTTATATATCTAAAAAAATATATATTATTTTAAAATATACTTTTCATAAACTTTTCTTTTTGTTGTTCAATATAATTATCAAACTCTTTTTGATCCAATTTAAATATTGACTTAATATTATAAATATCGGTTGTAGCATTATTTTTATCCATAAATGATTTAACATCGGTATGTAATGATGTTAATATATTATCACCATTTGCTTAATTAGAAAATGTATTTCAATGCAAGTTTCATGTGTACATTTTAAGATTATTCTTAAAATAAATAATCCTAAAATAAAATCATATCGTTTTATTCTAGATAGCAATCCCTCAGAAATTAAAAATGTGATTGCGTCATCGGAATTGCTTAACTCTGTCAAGGAGGCTATTATATATTCATAAACATCTAAAAAAATTTGTAATGCTTTGAAAGATGATGCCCAATTTCTGAAAATAAATAAAATTCTTAAAAAAATTATATTTATTTACCTTGTTGTGTTTTTTATTCTTTTGAGAGATTTTTTGGTTTTTTGCATTTGAAATTGGTAAAAACACCCTGGCGTTTAATTCCATTCATAAAATTATATAATTCATCTAAAATTCCCAAAGTTTTTTTAATTTCATTCATATCCACATATACAAATAACAATTAAATTAAGCCTATGAGCATGGCACCAGACATAAATAACTTTAGGAGCTTCTTTAAATATTAAAGCCTGTACTCCCTTATTAACACCTCTCATATTACTAGCACCATCCATATTTTGCCCAGATGTAATGCCTTTAATTTAGTTAGAACATTATTTTTAATATTTTCTCCTGTTGTGTCAGAAGTTGTAAAAATATTAATGATTCTTTCTACTGGGTGTGGGTGTGGATATTCTTGTATATACCTTATAATTAAGGCAACACATTCCTTTTTTGAAATATCATATGTACCATCTAATATTAAGCTAAAGGCACAATTTGAAATACTTTGTTTAATTATTTCATTCAATATTTTTATTATCTCATCCAATTTTTTAACATGGCCATAGATATGAAGTTTATTTGTGGCCTTAATATTTTATTACCACTTTTTCCTCGTGAACTAATATTTTTCTCTAGATATGCTCTTAATACTGAAACATTCTTTGAGATCAAAGTTATAAGTCTTGAAAAATTACCATCATGAGAATTGCTTCCCCAAAAAGCAATATTGCCCCGTATTAAATACACAATAGCATCAATTATATTATGGATAATATAACGATTTTGGGTTATAATTTCCTCTCGGTTGAATAAAATGTGGTCATCAATACGCCCCCGAGAAATCCATGCCATATGTACATATTCACAATCTGCATGAACAGGGGATGTTTCATGTCTCTCCATATCCCGGACTAAATTATTCCAGCTATCTGCACCTTTATGAGTCCATTGCATGCTTGCTTGATGACTTCCAAACATAATACAGAGGATACAGAATACTTTATCCAAAATAGAGCTATATGATAGCCATTTTCTTTGAGAAAATGATTTGTCATAATTTTTTTTATAATAGGCATCTTTCATGCTCCTACATTAAAAGCAATATATGAATATATACATAATTCTTGAATAATTAATAATATATAAGTAATATTGCAGCAATAATTTATTAAACCAACCTGTTATGAGTTTTTGGATAAATAAATTCATTGGAACTTGGTTGTAGTGGACCAAATTGAATTATAAAATCAATCATATTTTTTGACATTCTAAATCTAAAAAAATGTAGGATTCTTTTCCCTATATAAAGAAATAATATTTTTTTCATTATCTTCATATGATAAAGGAGTTATTTTAGCTTTGTTTGGTAACTGTATAATTTAAAATGTATAGATAGCTTAAGGTTATTACTTTATCTATATAAATTGATTCTAATGCTTGCATATCAATATCATCATTTTTACCCTTTAAAGACATTATTAAATAATATTTAAATTATAAACTTCTTTAATTGTTAATAAATTTCCAAATATTTTTTCTGGGTTGTCTAAATTAGAACTTCTAGGCATATTTTCGATTTTCTATATTTTGAAAAGAGAATATTAATTTATTAAATTGTAAATGCTTTGTCAGATTCTTTAAAAAAATTTTTTTTTTAAATTATAATACTCATGTTTCATCATCCAAGAATGGAATAATTTCTGGATAGGGGGCATCTAAATGAGATTGCTATTAATTTTAAATATAAAAAATGGTCATTTTTAATATTTTGAAATAATTACTTCTTTGTCCTTAAAAATGAATGCAGTCTCCATATTATAAGTTTTCTTTAGATCAAATGAATAAATTATAGTATAAATACTTAAAAAAACTTCTTCATCTTGATTTAGTGTGATAATATTATGTAATGGTTGTGGTAGATTTATCTTAAGAGTATCTAATGGAGAGTCAATTTCCTTAAAGTGTTTAAAATTATATATTGATCACTTAAATATGATATAAAAAGCATGTATAAAAATCAAAAAATAGTTTAACCTTTTGAAAATATGTTGCAATTGATTTATTTTTTTTAAATTGAGTATTGATTCCATTAGTTATTTTGAGATTATTTGCATTTGGACCAAGTTTGTTCCAAACCTTATCTTTTTTAATTGCTATTACCTCAAACTTTACATCACTATTAGGATGTCTTGTTTTGTAATGTAAATTAATTTTGTCTTTTCTAATCTTATTGGAGTTGCAGCCTGTATGTAAGCATTTTACCTTGTAATTTATCTTATTGCTTGGCATCTGATTTAAAAAATTTATATCCATTTTAAAAAGATGATTTAATAAAAATATCTATAATTTAATGATGTAATAATATATTAATAATAAAATAGATGTTTTAAAAATGGTGTAATATGATTAAAATCTACGTATGAAAAGATTTTTATTATTATTTATAGATTCCATAAAAGAAGAAAAGGCAATTATAATTCATAAATTATTAATATACTTTTTAGGAAAATATGGATGGCAAATATCTTCAAATATTGAAAAATCTTTTTAAAATAACATATTTTCAAATAACATCAATTTGGATCATAAAATTGTATTATATATTTTTGTTGTTTTAATTTCAAGAAATTTGTAAATATGAAAATAATTATCTTAAATGTTGACAAAATGGCGAGTCCAGCTGATCTACTATTTTAATGAATGAACAAATATATTATGATTGTAACGTTGATGTTTAGTAATCTATCTCTATTATAATAGATCTATTATTATATTATAAATAATTAAGCAAACTTTATTCACATATAATTCAAAAATGTAGTAGATAACATTCTAAATATTTTTACCCTACCCCCCAACTGATGCCTACCCCTACCCCCTTTTAGGATATTTGGATGCAAACTGTTTCTACCCCCCCCCCCGCTTATGTAGACGCTGACTGATAGAAATTTCAAATTTCTTTTAACATGTTTAAACTTTAAAAAACAATAAATTTCAATAATGTCATTTAGATATTGGTGGCAAGGAATGCGGCAAGATGTCATTGACTTTGTCAAATCATGTGACCTATGTCAAAGATACAATTCCCGATTTGACAAAACAAGCTTGGAAATGCAGTCTATTCCTATTCCTTCTAAGGTATGGACACAAATAGGGGTAGATCTATGTTCATTGCCAGAGAGCATTGATGGATTTAAATATATAGCAGTTGCTGTTGATTATTTTTCCAAATATATCGAAGCACAACCTTTAAAGGATAAGACTGCCCAGTCAGTGACCCTCTTTTTGTATACACTGTTATGCAGGCATGGCAGAGTCAAGGTTGATGAAATTTTTATAATATAATGATATTTATCATATTTATAGGTCCAAATCAATGATCAGGGACGCGAGTTTGTAAATCAAGTGAGTAATGAATATCACAAACTCGTGGGAACCCATCAGAGAGTGACAAGCGCCTACCATCCTCAGGCTAATGGCATGGTAGAGAGAGCTAATCGTACTCTTCAAAATTCACTTTTGAAGTGTACAAAAGGCAATCAGAAGGATTGGCCTGGAGTTCTCCCTGGTATTGTATTTGCCTACAATACATCAACGCATGAATCCTCAAAATTCACGCCAGATGTATGGCAGAAAAGCTCTACTGCCTTGTGAGGTATGATATATATCACTATTTGTATAAAATTAATTTACATAATAAATATTTATTTTTATTATTTAAGGATGATAGAGAACCAGATACAGATCTTGATGATCTATCTGACACTGATTATGAAAGCAATTACAAGAGTACAGCTGACAATATGGAAGTCATATTCAAGACTGCAACAAAAAATATTGCAAAAGCTCAGCTTAAGCAGCAACGAGATTATAAAACTCGTAATGATGCTAAGAATGCACTTTATCACATAAATGATAAAGTGCTTGTATGGAATAATCGTCGAGCTCACAGGAAAGGAGGGAAAATGTTGCAGCCTTGGGTAGGCCCATATACAATTGTTAATAGTAAAATCCTAATTTTTAACAAAATATTTATACATATTTAGGCAATGTTGAATTATCTTCCTTAACGGGAAAAATTTTATGTATAAAGACTAACCTCAGTAATTTAAAACACTATATCGAGGGGAACAAAGGTATTTTTTAAATATACAAATATAACTTTTTTAATGGTAAAGAAACAGTTAAAAAACCTAATAATATGGTACATTGTGAAACTATAGTAGGTGTTCAAGATCAAGGTAATATATACAGTTAATTCATAAAAATAATATTAAACAAATAATTAAGTTTGTAGGCTTCTTAAAACCAGGGATGCAAACCCGACAAAATTTTTGCCCGGGTTCGGTTCGGGGTATAAAAAAAAGGTGGGTTCGGTTCGGGTTCGGTTCAGGGAAATATTTTTGAACCCGGGTTTGGTTCGGTTCGGGTTCAAGAATTTTTGAGTTGATAAAAAAAATTCTATATTTAAATCATAATAAAAAACTAGACATAAATTTGATATAAAAAATAAATTTTTTATTTTATTTAAAGGCAAATATAGTTAAAAATACAAAGCATATAGTCATGTATCAATTTTAAAAATTTTATTTAGACGTATTAGCATAATATCTTCCAAGATTTGTTCACTCATCCTCGATCTATGTGGTGAAAGAATGAATTTAAATGTGAAAAAGATCTTTCAACGCTAACCTATGTTAAATGTATTTATATGTGAAAATATGAAAAATTAACTTGGGTTGCAGGAACAGCAAATAAGATTTTAGATAAAATATATAATTCAGGGTGTTCCAGCTTAGCAGACTCCCAAAAATGCAAAATATTTTCCTTCTTATCTAATCTTTTATAATCGCTAAATCCAGTAATTATTGTTCCAATACTCTTCTCAGCAATCGTTGGCCCTCTTTTAAGTATTTTCTCCTGCCTTTCTTTAAGTTGTATCAATTTCTCTAAATCATCTTCTTGTTCAATAACTTCATCGGAACTAATATCATCAGATAAAATCGGCGTTGTTAAGCTTTTAATTCGTCTCCATAAATTGACAAGATGTTTTTTCGCACAAATCTTATCATCATCACTAAGTAATACCTGTAATATTTAAGGATTTATATTGTTTATATTTAAATATATCATAAAATAACAATTTTAATATAAATCTAAAATAATTAATTTACTAAGCTTTTAAGACCTTGTATCTTGGGTCCAGGTATATGGCAGCTAAGAGAATTTCGTTCTTTATAAACCTTTCTTCTCTGTTCTTAAGACAAGAATATAGTAATTGAGCAAAATGGTTTGGATTTTTTTCCAGTTCGATGCAGCATCTTAACCATGCTGCATAAAAATCTGTCAGTGTTAACTGTTCAGATTGGAATTGTTTGGTTGCGATTTTTAGCGGTTTTAAAATTTCAACAATCGTTATTATCTCTTTCCAATCTTCAGTCAATAAATAATCAGATTGCTCTGTAAAAAAATCTTCGATATTGGGTTTTAGTAAAATCAGCCTTTCTAACATATCATGGGTTGAATGCCATCTGTGGCAATCTAACACAGGCTTAGGGAGTTTCATATTTTTTAATAACTTTTGGTAAGTGGGATGTCTTAATTTTAAATTTAGGCTCCTGCAATGGTTTCCACAATAGGTGATAATTTTATAGCATCTTGAAGTGCCAGCTGAAGTGTGTGAGCTGCACACCGTACACTATAAATCGGATAAGATATAATAGTTGATAAAAAAGTATTTTGTATCTATCAATATCATATTTATATACATTTACATCCATATTTTTCTCATCTGCTGATTCACTCCTTATATCATAATCAGTTTCAGGTTGCAGGAGCTTTATAGCTCTTAAAAAATTACAACCATTATCAGAAGTAATTGTGTATATTTGTTCAATATTAATTTTAAATTTTAGTAAAGTTTTTAATATATTCTCTTTTATATATTCTCCTGTACATCTCTCTTTCAGCTCTACATTTCCAAGAGTCCTCAAATTTATAATGGACTTTGATATAAATTGAATATTTACACCAAGAATTGACCTATCTAGTCGTTGAACTGCATCAACTTTTAAACTTATTAATTTTCCTTCTACCTCTCTCGATATTTTGTCTCTTATTGATTGGGCTGTTTTATTAATAGTTCTGGATAAATTTTCTTTGTTTATAACTAAATTGAGCCCAGATAGGAGTGGATTTATAATTCTTTGAAATCCCGAATCTTCAATAATTGATAAAGGCCGGCCATTTACAGTAACAAGTTCTAGTATAGAACTCATCAAATCATTAGATGATATATTTATACTTATATGCTTTTTTGGAAAAAAGGTTTCTATATTAATTTTAGGTTTTTTTGCCAATAAAAATTCCTGATATTTGGTTTTTTCATTTAAATAATTTAAATATTTATTGTTGTGATTTCTTTCTAGGTGTCTTTCTAAATTTGACAAGTGATTACCAGACATTTTTACTTTGCAATATGAACATATTGATTTTTTTTCTATTGTATTAAGGGTAAAATGCTTATCAAATATGACTTTATCTTTAATCTTAAATCTATAAAAAGAGAACAATTTTTTTAAATAGCAATGATTTCAGAATTAAAAAAGAGATATTTATAAATTTAATTTCATTTATAATATGCACTTCATTAATATCTTGTAAAAATTAAACTGAACCAAAAATAAATGATTAGCATATATAAATTTTAAAATCATTTTAATAAGTTCACAAAAACTACCCTACATTTAACAATTTTTAAGTTAGATGTTTAGAATTTTTTAAATTAACAATATAATAATTTTTACTTTGATTTGTTAACCATTTTCTTCTAATTAATAATCTTTAAGAATAATAAGATAAAAATTTAAAAATAAATGGCGTAAATTAATTCAATTGTTTAAAATTTTTTAACACTCCAATAGGAATCGAGAATAAATTTAAAAATGGCATAAATGAATTAAGTTGTTTAAAATTTATTAAGAATTTAATTGGAAATTTGAAAATATAATATTTGTATTTACATATATTAATATATGATTTTAAATAATACACTGAACCCGATTGAACCCGGGTTCAAATAAAATTCTTGGGTTCGGTTCGGGGTTTTGAAAATTTTATAAATGGGGTTCAGGTTCGGTTCGGGTTCAGAGTTTTTTTCTAAAAACCCGGGTTCACTTCTCCGGGTTCGGTTCGAATCCCTGCTTAAAACTATAGTTGGAGAAGGAGAAGGTAATCAAATGCATTTGGAAAAAAGGAAAATATATTTTTAATTATTATATTTCCATTAGAAGAAACACTATTTGAAGAGATGTCCTGTGAAATAAATGTTGCAGAAGAAAGTTTTATTTTTAAAAAATTGAAAAATTTTTATTTTTGATAAAGCTAAAATCCTAGGGTTGGAAATTGGAAAGGAGGACATCAACATAAACCATGTCAAGAGAAAGGGTATAATATATAAAATTATTTAATTATTTTTTTATATGCAGATACATTTGGTGAAGATCCAACAAAAGCTTATAAAAGTATAGTAAGAGAGGGAGGATATGTAGGCATACAAGATCAGGGTAAAGGTAATATATTTTAAAAATATGTTATTATTTAATTATCAAATTTAGATGACGAAATTATTGTTGATACAATAATACCAAAGAAAATTGGTGAGGTTTTTTTGCCCACAACTAGGAATTGGAAAGTATACCACTCTAAACGGTTCAATTTCAAAGTAATTGGCCGTTATCCCAAGATCGAAAGTGGTATATTAAAGGAAATATTCACAACCGATCATATTGTGGGTGATGGAAACTGTTTTTTTAGGTTAGTTACTTTATATAATATTTAATTATTTAACATGTATATAGGTGTATAAGTCAAGAAATATCAAATAGTCAGGATAATTATAATTACCTGAGGGAGAAATGCGTTGCCTTTATGAGGAGCAACGATTTCAAATTGGAAATGGAAAAATTCATAGGATATCCTGTAGAAGAATACCTAATTGACAGAAATGTTATAGGAAATGGTGTCTGGGCAACAGAGGTGGAAATATTATCTATGGCCACATTGTTGCAGACAAATATATTAATTAATACCCAATATAAGTGGGCTTATTATTCACCCATGAAATTTTTTAATAATATTAAAATTTTTAAAGAAAATATATATTTATGTAATGAAAATAACAATCATTTTGTTAGAATTATATCAATGTAATTAATATTTATTCTAATATTTTTATTCCATTATATTTATTGCAATTTAGTTGAAAGTATAATCGGTAAGCATTTTTTTATTAAATGTTATTGCACTTTATATTTTTTATTAATAGTTATTTTAATAAAAGGTACAATAGGTTGGCATCCTTTTTATCAATGTAATTAATATTTATTCTTATACTTTTATTTCATTATATTTATCGCAATTTAGTTGAAAGTATAATCGGTAAGCATTTTTTTATTAAGTATTATTGCACTTTATATTTTTTATTAATAGTTAATTTTATAAAAGGTACAATAGGTTGGCATCTTTTTTATGAGTTCAATTCTATTCAATTGCGAATTTATACTATATAGCATTTTATAATTAGTTATTTTTATATAAAGTCACAATAGTGAATCATTAGATGAATGATATGTAATTTATGTTTAAATATGAATAAATTTAACCTACCATGTGTATATAAATTTTGATCAAACCTTTTTTAAATTAAGCTATAACGTTTTCGGCGTTAAATTATTTATAGGCATAAGAAATTTAAAAAGGTTGAAAGTTAGATGTTAATATTACTAAATATTAGAAATTATAATCTATCTTATAAATTTTAATTATCTCACTCATAAGTGTCAATATTGGAATAAATACAAACTTTAAGCATCATCTGTCGGTCATAAGTGTCAATATTGCTATATATAAATTTTAAGCAGTACCTGTCAGTCATAAGTGTCAATATTGCAAATACAAACTTTAAGCATCATCTGTTGATCATAAGTGTCAATATTGCTATATATAAATTTTAAGCAGTAACTGTCAGTCATAAATGTCAGTATTACTAAATAATAGAAACTTTTAACATTACATGCCAGTCATAAATGCCAGTATTACTATATAAAAGTAACTTTTAACATTACATGCCAGTCATAAATGCCAGTATTACTAAATAATAGAAACTTTTAACATTACATGTCAGTTATAAATGTCAGTATTACTAAATAATAGAAACTTTTAACATTATACGTTAGTCATAAATGTCAGTATTACTAA